AATATCTTTATAATATCACGAAGATTAAATTTCGTTATTCAAAAAAATAAATAAATAAGATTTGAACAATAATAAGTATTACATTAATATTTAATATAACTGTGATAGACTATTCAAAAAATTTTGTATTTTTTAAATGTAAAATAATGAAGTTATTAAAATATTCACACAAATAATGAATTTTATGAATTGATAGAATTATTATTTAAATCTATTGAGTAAAAGCCTTTATAGTTGTTCTGCTTTAAAAGAAAAATATAACTTCTTTTACAGAATGCTCTTAAAAATTACTTAAATGTTTTTAATAATTATAATATTTTTTTAATGCTATTTACAAGGGAGTCAAGCTTAAAATATGCGACTTCTTTTAACTTTTGCCAAGCGTTGTAATGACTTCTTTTAACTTTAAAAATAGCTTCGAGTCTATTTCGTGAAAAATGTTTCTTTTTAAAAGTTCTTGAACATTGTCTTCGTCAACAATTGTCGTCTTGAAAAATCTAACTTTTACGAACGAATTAAGTGAACTTCCTGGAGCATTTAAACGTCATGAAATGCCTCCATTTTTTAACCTAAAAAAAACTTAGGACTAAAACTAAATTTCAAGTTGGTCTATTCTGAACAAAAGAGTAGAAAGAAAAAGTGCGGTACACGCGAAAATGATGAAAGCAAGCTTACTAAAAACATGGAGACAAATCAGGAGAGTACTTGCGGTGATTGTTGTTGGCGTGAAGACGCAGTTGTCACATTGTGGGTGTTGTCAAAGGTACTTGAAGAAAAATGAAAACTTAATGAATCTTTCAGAAAGCCTTCACAGCTGTTACGATCTGGCCATCTTACACGCTATTTACAAATTAGACCTCTTTCACCTGGTATTTCCTACACTTGATTAAGCACAACCTTCTAAATTAACTGCAAATTTTCTTTCTCTTATATGTCCTCTTATCTTTCTTAATATTATGTTTTATATATTGGATGCCATTATTTTTTTTTTCACTCTCGAAATAGTATTTTTTGTTTTTCTTTTTATAGTTTTTCCGATTTCCTTTTAACCCTTTCGGTACATACTTGCGTGTTCTGTCTCTAATATTGGATTTTAGCGTTCTATTGGAATGTGCTAAAGTTTTTGAATAGTTAATATAAACATTGTCCTTAACACGCTATGCATCTTTTTGCTGTAGATCTTTAAATTGACTAAAACGAAGTTTTCTTTCTATATTATTTTTTTTTAAACTGTTACTATGAAATGCCTAAAAAATTAACAAAATATGAGAAACATTTTGTAAAATTATTTAAGTATCTTTTCCTATGCTTCAGATGCTAAATTACTTTTGCTTAAGATTATGTTAATTTTTGTTTCGCTGCGCTAATTTTTTTAAATTAATATTTTATGTTTAATCATCTGTGAAATTGTGATATGTTGATAAATATGTATATAAACTATTTTTATACATGAATAGCGGTATAGGTTCCTTTTTTTTTCATGGAATCTTCATGGTTTTTTTTTTTTTTTTCTTTCAATTATCTCTCGGAAATTGTTTTAACTCTTCTATCTATAACTTAGTGGAAAACCAAAAATAATTTTTTGAATTTTAATAATTTCTTATCTTGACAAAAATAGAGAGTTAACAGACTTTTATCTAGCTTTTTTTATTGCTTTTGAACCTAGCCATAATTATTTGGATGGTGTGTGTGGTTCATATATTACCAAATAGCATAGAATTCCTTATCTCCGAAGTTCAAAAATTTTGCTGGAAATAAGGAAAAGTAATTTCTACACCTGCATTAAATAAGGGTTAGTGCCAATAGAATGTAAATTTCAATATATATCCTCACTCTGAATTGGATTTAGAACATTCTAATATCATAAAAAGATGTATTTTTCAGATTGACTTTGAAGTGCTACAAGAAAGCATCTTAAAAAAAGTTAAAGACAAATCCATTATTACGCCATCATACGAAAGCAGTATTTTTAACTACTTCATTTGCATGAATTTCAAAATACTTATAAATTATCAGTTTCGAAGAAAGTAAGCGACAGTTCCTGAAAAAAAGTTATGCTTAACTTTATTCCTTTATGCCTTCTCAGTGTTAGTAGAAATACCCAATAACAATTCTTTTTCCTTTCAGTAATTCAAAATAAAAAAAAAGTTAGAATGTATATTAAAGTTAATTTAGATGTAGTTTACATCTAATTGACAATTTATTTGAAAATAATTATGTTTTAGCTTCTAAGTTTTAAGTATATCAATGTCAGTAAAAAATGCTTTTAAATCTTGTGATGCCTATGAAAGTTTCTGAAGTCATAACTTTCAAGTTATAATATGGGGAAGGTTTATGCAAGCTTGTCTAACTTAAACAGATTTTTTTTTCCTGATGATGTAAAAATTATAGATCAAAATCGCTTAGTTCTCACTATTGTTATCTATAAACATAGCGCGAATTTTATTAAATATATAATTAAATTAACACGCTGTCGTTTTAGTTTAATACATATTTATTAAAATAATGTTTCAATATTTTCCATTAAATTTCAAACTATACAAGAAAAACTTAGGTAATTTCAGGTTTAATTGTATTAAAATGTTTGATATAGGAATTTTTGAACTTTTTAGCTAAATATTTCAAATTTAAACACTATATAAAGGCTAAATCGGGTTAAATTGCGAAAATATTTCAATTGCGGAGTTCAAATTTCTTTAATTTAGAATTAAAAATGACCAAAATTTGTTATTTTGAAAAAAATTATCAAAACTTTATCAAGAATTTTTTTAAAATAAAATTTACAAATACATTATCTTACATAACTTGTTTCTTCCTTAATGGAGACCTAAGTGTTTAACTTTTTGTACGCATTATTTTCAACTATTGTATTCCTTGTACATTGAATATTTTAGCATTTTTTAAACTGATAAAAGGAAACGTAAAATATATTTGACTAGTTTTAAACTCAAATAATTAAATTTTTCAAATTTCTAAACTAATTCAGTTTTAATATAAAAACTGCTACAATTTACGAAATATTAAGCATCTCGCGCTTTCCAAAAATTAAATATTTATAATTTTTTAATCATTAATGTGTTTTAAACACAAGCTGAGATATGTTAATTAACAATTACGAAATTACACAAATTTGGTATTCTGAAAAACAGCTCGGCTCTTCAAATTAAACTCACTAGGAAAATATTCGTTTTTATGGCTAAGTTTTATTTAAATAAACGTCGCTAATTTCGTTCATAAAGGCATTATGTTCTTTTTCTCTTAAACGTTGATTGCTGATAATGCCAGTCTTCGTGACAGTTTCATGTCACTTCTCAAATGAAATGAATTGTTGGTTACTCAGAAGAGGGCTAATCGACAAAGCAATTACCTCTTTTAAATCCGCGTATTCATTGCTAAGTAGGCGTTTTTTGTTGTTTAAAATCTTTGGCCTAATAGGCTTAAATCTTAGTTCAGTCTATGGCGAAAAGCTGTTTTACTCGCCAAAATAATTTATAGTAGATTTTGTTCATAAGATGTTTCATAAACTTAGTTAAATGATGTCTTTTTAATAATGCAAAAGTAGATTTTGTACTTATATTATTTAATAAACCTTATCAGTCCCTTTTTAAACAAATAGTCAATGCACTTTAATCTACAATAAGCAAACTTTTTTTTATTTATTTCATTTTTTAAAATTAGTTATTTAAAGCGCGACTCTTTACGAATAAAAATTATATAAGTTAAAATTATTTACTAATAGCCTAGTATAATAATTTTAGCTTCGTCATTTATTATTAATTTTTTTTAAAAAAGCTATTTTAATTTGTAAGTACAGCTTAGCGTAAAACCTCTAAATTATATTTTTTCTCATTTGTATTTTCAATTCAAAAACAATTAATAATAAAAAATGTTTTATGTTGGGTCACTGTACTTACTGAACCAAAACCGACACTTTTAATATGAAAGTAATAAACGTTACAAGTTTATTTATTTATTTATTTATTTATTTTTTTTTTTTGTACGAACAACGGTTTTATGAGAAATAATATTTTAAATTGCCTTTTTATAAATTTAAGAAAAAAGTGCCCCATCAATTTAAAAAGATAATTAACATAGTTGGTTAATTTCGTTATTTTTATTACGTTATTTCAGGCTTGTTAACTTATTTATATCTTAGGTTAGATAGTCTATAGACTATTGGGGAAAAAGTTGAGCTCTAATATGCTTTAAAGTTACCCAAATAATATATATGCTATCTTTTCAACTTAAAGCATCTGAGTTTTTATCCTAACAATTTAGTATTTTTCTACATCTGAAACTGCTACTAATAAAAACTACTACTAGTGTTACTATGAATAATTATAGAACTTTACTTACTCCACTATTACTACTAAAATGTCTTTAAATAATAAAACTACTGCCTATAAAACTATTACTGTTAATAAATTTATTTTTCTCACTTGTATATACAGTTTAGTAGCTTTTTAATGTCGTAAATTTACGCAAAATAAAACAATTATACGTGTGTGCATAATATATATAGAGAGATATATACATAAATATAAACACAGTGATAATAAAGTTATTTTTGTCAATTTAGCTTTTGGTTGCTCTAACGCTGATTAAAATTGGAACTCAAAATACTTTATACAGGCATTCCTCACAAAAAAGAAAGTTAATAGAATTTGTGTAATATAATAATTGAACCTTTTTTTATTCATCATATTTACACTCAATTAAAAAGGTACTGCGCATTTTTATCTTTAAAAAATCTTATACTAAAAAAAATCAATGTAATAATTTATAGAATGAATAATAATTAGCGGAAAAGAAACTTTTATTAGATGCATCTTATTTTTAACTTCGTTCTTCCTTTTGCTAAGTCTTTAAAATTGTGTCTATTTTTAATGTTTACGACTATCTTTTTATGTTATTCGCTGACTGTTATGAGGTACTTCTGTACAACATATGTTTGCCGTATTTCTTTCCCCTTGGTACTAAAATTTACTTTTATTTTGCAGTAGCTATGACGTCTCAACCGACAAATGAGTCGGAGCTACAACTATATCGAGTCTTACAGAGGGCTAATCTTCTGGCTTATTACGACACTTTCATCTGTCAAGGTAATCTTTACTCTTTTTTATTCTTTAATATTTATGATTCAAGATTTAGTTTTTAGTACTCTTCTTTCAGTTATTTACTAACTTTTACGAACCTTTTTTTTTTGTTAATAATTTTTTGAAGTCAAATGAGAAAGTTGCTTTTTAAATGTGGACATTAATATTTCTGCTAAACTGGGATTATATCTCGAAATTTAATCTTAATTAAGTCTAGCTGTTGAGGTATTTTCTTTTTTAAGTATATATAAAAAGTTAAGTTTCATTGATAATAATTTTTCCAAAAATATTTTCTTTGTTTTGTTTTTCTGCTAAATATGTAAAAGCTAATTAGGCGAAGTAAATATTAAATGTTGATTTTGTAGCAACTAGAAAATTAAAATATTAAAATTTATTACATTTTTCTTCTGTATCAGTGCAAAGCATTAAGTAATTACTAGTCAGAAACTAAAAAGAATATGAAACATATATAAATTGTTAACTTAAAAAAAAAAAAAGAAACATGTTTTAAAATGATAATTTTATAGAAGAGGCATACTGATTTGACAATGACTTTATACTTTTAGATGTAGTGCCCTAAATCCTATTATTAACTTGGCATAACTTCTTTATGAGCCTAACAATCTAAATTATAGTTCTTCTTAAAAGTAAATTTTGAATAATTTAACTGTGTTAACTTTCTACTAAACATTCCATGTAACAACTGTAAAAATATTTTGGGTGTACCATTGAGTCTTACGTACAAAGTGTTTTAAAGAATTTAATTTTTTGCAAGAATATTACATATTATTTTTCGTGAAACTCTTAACAAGCTTTTGATTATTATAAATTTTTAGGCTTATTTTTCAGTTTTCAATATTTGCTTCAAAAAAGATTGGATTTGAGATTAAACTGCCAAAAATAGCTTCGCCAGCAATATTTTTTAAAAAACATCTAGCTTTAAATATTAAAAACTATTTCCTTTGTAACTTTGATGTCTTTTTAGAGCTACACTGGTAAACTACAGACATGCCAACTTGCTCCGGACAGCAAATATATATTTTAAAGTGGTAGTTTATCAATTGCGATTCTTGGTTTAATAAATTCAATTTAGTAGACTTTTATTCACCACTATTTCTAAATAATTCGTAGGCTTATATAATTCCCCACTTTTTAGTACTTACGTCATGCTATGCCTTTTAAAAAGCAAGCAAAATTAGTCAAACATTTGCAAAATTTACTTTCTAGTTATTTACCGTTTTTTAAATTATTTTGGCGTGTCCGGAGCAGTTGGCTACTCTGAAACTATAGAGATGTTTATGAAACTATAACTTAAATCATGGAACTCAACAATAATTATAATTAGTTTTTACATAGCAGCTGGACGCTTGTAAAGTGTAGGCCTTGTCCTCAAATGTTTTTTCCTTATTATTTTTTAAAAGAATTAATATTTCTAAAACACACTGAGATCCAGGAAGGGCTTTAAAAAATGATATTTGCTTCACCGTCTAGACGGTTTTAATAACCACAGGATCAGAGAGAATAAATACTCTTTTTTTTTCCCACAATCGCCCACGAGACACAACTTGTCATTCTAACCAGTAAAAAGTAAACTACTAACTATTTTTTTTTCTCTTCTTCTCTTAACATAATTCTTTCTTAACTAGGCTATTTAATACTTCCTTATTTTTTTACTTGAATTTTCCTCTTTCTTAATCGATGATGAAATTCATCTAAGCTTTCCTTGGACGCCGTGAATAAACATTTTGAACCATTTCAAAGGAACGTGACGAGAATCTGAACCGCACGAACCGGCTAGTTTGTTTTTAAAAATTCTTAAGTTTATTCTCATTCTGAATATTACCTCATTATTTTCTTCTCGTTTAGAAAATTTTTCTTGGGTAGGTGGAGACAGTCCTTTGCGTCTATTACCTATGTAATGAAGATGGGAACCATATTAATTGTCTGAGCAGTTTAAACAATAGCATTGTTTCCTTCGTTTCCATCCCCCAAAAAAAGTATTTGCTTCAGAATCTTTAGCAACTTAAGAGATTCGCTCCTCAACTAAAAACTTATGGTGTAAAGTAACTAGGGTTCGTAAAAAAAACTGAGAATTCTATAGCCGTATAGTTTTGTGTGGGTGCTTTTCTGGCAGTATTTCTACTGTTTCTTCATTCTATACCAAGTTCTTTTCATTATTTTAGTTAGCCGAGGTAATGAATTAGGGAAAGTGTCTTATAATGTACTATCCAAAAATAGTTTACGTGAATTTTTCTTTTGCAAATGGAAGAACAAAGCGAGACGTTTTGTTCTTATAACTAGTTGCAAGGATTGTCACGGGGAGAGGATTTTATGTTGAGTTCAGATTAACATAAATATAAAATTAAAAATTGAAGTCCAATTCAGTTAACTTCTACACTGTAAAAAATTACGGTTCAAATTACGATAAAAAGTACCCGCACTTAGGGTGCCGTTACTTTTTATCATAAAATCCATTTTTACCGAAACCTGTAACGGAACAAAAAATCTGGTGTACTGTAATTTTTACAGCAATAATTACAGTAAAAATCATTAAATCACTCAAGTTAAATATTACTGTAAAAGTTTAGGTATAATATTTTACGGTAAAAATAGATTTTACGGATGATACACCCTAAGATACCGTATTTAATCCGGAATTTTTTACAATGTAAAAACATTGAACCATTTAAGTATTAAATTTCGAGTTGCACAAATAGTCGACTTAATCATAGTATAGTAGCATTGAACTGCAGTTTAAATATGGGCTTTCATTTTAAATATAATCGATATTATAATTCAGTTAATAATATCGTAAAAGCAGTGTAAGATTTTCATTATAGCAAACATTTAAAAAGACGAAATTGAAAGTGAGCATCAAAATTTTTAAGTAATATCTATATTTGATTTATAAAGACTGCATTGTTTATCATTTTGTTTAATCTTTTAAGTAAATATTTTTAAGCAATTTTTAATTTTGTAAGTTAGCTTTTATTTACAAGTTATAAAATTTGTGTTATTTTTTTAAAATTTAAATTATATATTAATCCTTCATTGCATGAATCTTTTTTGATTGATTTTTCAATGAACATTATTAAAAATTTTACACTGGCGAAGAAGAAACACCAAAATAGGTTTTAAAAAAAAGGTGAAATATTTTCAATTTATAAAAAGCTATTATTATTATCTTTTTTTTCGTGAATGGAAAACTTAAAATTTGAAAACAGACGCGTGTTTTTATTATGAGAAAATGAAAACTATTGCATATATTACTGTTAATGTAAACCAATTTATCTTGTATAATAACTTATTATTTATTATACATACTAATCAAAACGGTTGATTGATATTATAAAATGTTTGCCATTTTATTAAATATTAATATGGATTTCATTCTATGAACTTCGTTTAAGTATGCACCGGCTAAAGTGATAAAATTTGAATCATTTTATTAAATTAATAATTGTTTTAATTTTATGTATAATAATCAGCTATGTATCAACCATAATAGCCAATTCATTACATTAACCATAGCACAAATGTGTTCACGGAATAATTAAAAAATATGATAAATTAAAAACTAGAGCAAAAGTTTCATTTTTTTTCCTTAAATAAATCAAAAACTATTTCCTTATTTGTTTTATTGTTAGAAGTATTAATTGTTGGTGTTATAGCAATATAACGGATTTGTGAAATTTTATTAGTTGTAAAATAATTAATATTTTATTCCCTTCCTATTCGGCATTTAGATATCAAATCTAAGAAGACATTTCATAATAACAAATAATCCAAAAATATCCAATTTCATTGTCAAATTTATCTATTCAGATTGCATGATAATATTTTTTCTCCAAATATTTCCCTAAAATATCAAATATCATGCATCTACAAATTGAGCAATTCATTTTTACAAGTTTTTACAAGGGTTATCAGAGAAGAAAAAAATTCTTTTTTCTGATTAGCGGTTTTTCTTTTTATCTTTTCTTTACGGATCCAATCATTTTGATTTGTGCGATGATAGTGTAGCTAAAAGCACTTATTTTTCTTTGAAGAGTTGTGAATCTAAAGAAGTAGATGATGATTGATTAAAGCAATCCAGGGAAATACGACTTCCTTTTTCTCAACAAGAGATATATCTTGTGATGAAAAAAAATGCTTCAATTAACCTAAATAGTTGACTTACGAACAGATATTTACAATGTATCTTATGATAAAAGGTCAGGTCTCAAAAGGATTCATTTAATTAGCTTTCCACAACATACTTTTCGACACTTGGAGTTGAAATATCCGTCTTATCGACAGGTTGTCCCTTTTCGATTCCCTGTTGCTTTTCGATCTTTTTTTATTTATTTCAATCTCAGTAAATCGTAACGAGATATTTGCTGCTTCTATTAAGTAGGATTTGTAGAATATTTCTCGTTCAATAGCCCTTCATATTCGCAATTATTTCGGCATTAGCTATTTTATTTCAACACGCATCCAACATTTAATTTATTCTTTTAGAAATTTTTTTAAAATTAGAGATTGAGTTACTATTTGAGTATTTTAATTATGCAAAATATTATGCTTCATAATTATTAATTACCTCTCAGGATTATTGGATGTTCAAGCACTGAAACTGTAAGAAGTAATAAACATATTTCTAAATATTTTTCGAGGAAAAATATTTTAATTATTTACTTCAAGCGATTTCTTAAAACTAGTATTTTACTTTTGAAATTTATATTGATGTCATGTATTAGTGTTTATTAATTATAATTTTGGAAGGTGGCACTTTTATTTTTCTTTCTGTTACGAACTGGTATTACTTCTATTTATTTATATTATGAATAAATAAAAATAATTTAATTTTTTATTATTATAAATCAATGATTATTACTAATAAGTGATCATTAATACAAAAATATGAACTTATATTTTTTATTCGTAATTATCGTTATTATAATTTTAACTAGGGCAATTTTTAATGATAATTATTATAAATGAATAAAAAATATAATAATTCGTAA